GTGTCTGTGTGTACACTAGACAAATATGCATGCTTTGACAACTGATTCGGAAGGTTGGAAACCAAACCTTTTGCTGTATCTCCAAAAACATTTACCCATACCGATTTTCGTCGCTCCGTCAGCTGCCGGAGGCTGATATAAGGTTACCAGCTTTCAAGCTCTTGTAGGGGAATCCCCTGCAGTTAATGCGTCGCATTTAGGTTTGACGAGCTCCCCGGCAACATCCGCTTCTCTCTGAAAGCCGACAGCTCATGGCACCGGCCCATACCTCCCGGGCCATGGCCCATACCTCCCGGTGTATTTTGATGGATCGAAAGAGCACATTATTTATTGAAAGTTATCTCGAGACAAAAGAGTTGATCCCAGATGCTCAATATCAGGCACACTTTGCAGGCGAAAGGCAATTTCACGTGCACAGAGTGAAAAACCGGGTCTAGCCACTGCCCACTGCACTGTGATGCAAATGGGGTTCACGGGTGGCCATAAATACCCAAAAGTCAAGTTTACCAAATCGAGTTAATTGCGATATGGCCGAGTAGACAAAGGTTTGGGGCATCTGAAATCACATGGTTTTTATGTTTTTGTCAAAACCGGCCTCGTGTATAATCGTCAGAAGTGACATTTTCTAGGTCGTAAAATGACGGTCAGACACTCGCAAGTTCAAACGCCGCTGGTTTGCGTTCATTTCGTACAAATTGAAAAAATTATGCATGAGAATGATCCCCAAAGCCTTCTGCTTCTAATGCCGGGTCACAAAAAGCCGTATCTCATTCGCTTTGGCGGTAATCTGACTATTTATCATCATGTTGCAATCGCAGTTTTTTACTAAGAAAAAAATGCTTTCGTTTCACCTACAGCACTTAACACAGTGTGTGCCCGTTAGTCCACCATACCATAGCCTTCCCTAATCATTTCTGAGTCACATCGTGAAAGAATTAAGGTGCTAGCACAGGGCTGACCGGCGCTACAGAGGTTTTTGTCTGGGCGGTCGGGTGCCGCAGTGGGCGCGCAGTGGGCGGGTGGGTGCCGCCGCGCGGCGTCGCGCGCGTCCGGGCGGCGCGGCGCGGCGGCGCGGCCGCCCGGGCCGCCCGCTGCGCCGCGGCACCCGACTGCGCCGGACGAAAACTGCTGTAGCGCCGGTCAGCCCTGTGCTAGCGCCTTAATTCTTTCACTATGCGACTCAGAAATGATTAGGGAATGCTATGATATGGTGCACTAGCGGGCACACACTGTGTGAAGTGCTGTAGGTGAATTGAAAGCAAATATTTTTGGTAAAAGACTGCGGTTGCAACATGATTACAAATAGTTAGCTCACCGCCAAACCAAAATAGATACGGCTTTTTATGACGTGGCATTAGAAGCAGCAGGTTTCGGGGATCATTTTCATGTATAATTTTTGCAGTTTGTATGACATGAACGCACGCTAGCGGCATTTGAATTTCAAGTACCTGACAGTCATTTTACGACATCGAAAATGTCTCGACTTCTGACAATCATATACACGAGGCCGGTTTTGTCAAAAACATTAAAATCATACTTTTTCAGACACCCCAAACATTTGCCTGACTCACCATATTACGATTTATTCGATTAAAGGTAGTGTGCCACCTTTGAAAGATTTCCCATTTTATTTTTCCTAGGATAAGAAGCTTCTGTTTTTACCTAATATCGCAAAAAAAAAATAAAAAATGGGCCTGGAATAGTGCCTTTTTCGCCTAAAAGTTTATCGGTTTTTAGATATGTATAACAACTGTAGTGGGCTCACCTGCAAACAGGCGTCGGCAACAATCGCGAATGCGGCGCACTTGTGACAATAAGCAAAGGTCATTATAGTGTTACGACCATACGACGTACGGGAATGAGTTATCAGCTGTCTAATCGTAGACAACACAATGTCGAGCCTTAAACTGTAAGCCCGTATTGGTATTGTTTCTTTTATTTGGCTGTCGAACATTATTTATGGTTTGAAATATGATTTTATGTAAAATAATTGATATGAAAAAGCCGTCTCATAAGTTATGACCCCATTTCACCACACGCAAGTGGCAGAAATGACAATGATCAGCTAACACATTTTTCTTGGCCGAAGTCAGAGCGCGCGGCCCGACGCACCACCACCGCACCACAAAGTATGAGCAGAAGCCGCGCCCAAAGCCAGGGCCCCGGTAACGTGAGGTAGCCGAGTCGGGGCAGCGTGCGCTGACCCAAGCCGGGGCCGCAGCTTTGGGCGCGGTCTACCGCATCCCCGCGGGCAGCCCCGGGCTATCACATGACACCGGGAGGACGCGCGGCTCCGGCTTGGGTCAGCGCACGCTGCCCTGACTCGGCTACCTCACGTTACCGGGGCCCTGGCTTTGGGCGTGGTCTACCGCACCACCTAACAGGCGTGTTCGAAACCGCAGGAGCTGATGATGAACGGGTTTATCGAAACTTGATTGGATGAGCATATCGGTAATAGCGATTTCAGTGTGTGTATTTATTGTTCATAGTGGTGTGAAATGTGGTTGGGGTACGACCGACAACCCGTCGGGGCGAATTTCGCACTGGGGTACTCAAAATTTGAAGAATTTAAGACGTTTCCATGAGTTTTGAAGGTATGGATAACTTCTAAAAATCCGGTTCTCCTTATCTGGGCCATTAACTCCATACGGTCCAGGAAAGCTGGCACACTACCTTTAAGTGAACTTGAATATTGGGCCTGTTTCGTATTTATGGCCACTCGTGAACCCCATTTGCATCGCTGTGCACTGGAAGAAAATTGCCTTTTTACAAAACCGGCCCATACCTCCCGGGTTTCCCCTACACCTGTTTTTACATCTTTTCCGCCCATGTTGTGAAAAGTTCAGACCCGGGTCGTTTAAGGTCAGGTCACCAGGTCACGTCAAAAGACCTTACCTCAGGAAAAGTTAAAAGGCTGGCTGTAGATACACTGACAGAACGGTCGCTTTGAAACTTTCAGCGAGTGATAAGAGTAACAATAGGTAGGGTGAAGTCGTTTAAGAGTACGCACTTAGTGGATTTTTTGCTCTCATTTGTTAAATATTTGAAAGAAAGAAATCGCAAATATAGAATATCAAAGTTCATTGAATTCGCCATCAACCCATGAGGCAACGATCCTTCATCGTAAATGGAAGTGGTCTAAAACTGACGTTTTCTGAACCGCTGCTGTTGCGTACTCTTACCACATGGGGTGTCGTAAGAGTACGCACACCATGCGGGTGGAGTACGCAAGCATATAAACACACACCTATAGGCAGCTTTTACTGTCCAAATGCCTAACATCAACTTCAGAAGACATTTAATTTAATTCTAGTATCAAAAAAGAAAAACATAAAATAAATTTTGCATATCTATAAATCAAGAAATCATCAAGTAATGTGACTCTAAAAATGTACAATCAAAAGGGAAAATAAATCGTTTTTAGGAGAATTTCGGGTACGCATCTGCCTCACAGTGCTCCATTGATGACATACCTACAAAACAAACGTCATTGAGCGATATATCAATAATTTGATATTTCTGTATATTCGATATAATGTATAATTCTGCGTACTCTTACCCTCATGAACAGTGCGTACTCTTACCCTCCATGCAATTCGCGCACAAAACAACCCCGAAACATTGTGCAAAACTTCACAAACAGAATATTGCACTGCACAGTATTTCCCCAGAAAACCTCTCAAGTTTCCCACAGTAATCACAAAAATGTACCTTATCTCAACTGCCAAGTATCAAAATTATTGTACCATACCATAATAATATCATAACGCTCCAAAATAATATTCATCGCCTTAAACTCAACAGCGTCGCCGCACAACGCCCACGTTCCGTAGGTGACAAACACGCACTGGCGGCTTCATGTCACTTCATGAACTCGACAAACCCGCGTTGCTAGGCAGCCGAAACAGCTGATGCGTACTCTTATCGCCCGCGTCCTCTTACCCGCCCTTACCCTATGTGTAAAATGCATATCTCGGAATTTTGATATCTGTGACCTAAGGTCAGGTCAATTTTTCGACCTCTCCATTGTACCTAAGTCAATGGCAGAAAATTCAAATGCGCCTATTTTGGACGAATGTCGTTTTAAACACTCTCAAACATCGGTTTATAGGTAAACATGACACACTGAATCGCAAAATTGCATCTGTGACTCCCTGTATACCCCTGAGGTCATCCCAGGTCATGAAAGGTCAACAGCAGTTTTTTTTTACTATAACTTTTGATAAAGACGTGCTAGAGTGGTGAAAACACGTCATAAGTGTTCAGCTTCACGATACAGGTCGACTGATATGTAGCACGACCCTTTCCGGTCAGGTCATGACCTTGATTTCAAAATTACCTTTAAGGTCATTTTATAGTTTATTCAATGCGTCTCGACGAAAGGAACACGATACCGATAAAAGCAATGTCGTAGCCCTCTTGATTCAAAAGTTATTCACGAAAAAAAAAACATTTTTTTTTCGTAAAAACTGCGATTTTTTAGATGTTGCCGAGGCTGAACCATTGACTGGGATTTTTTAGCTGTTGCCGAGGCTGAACTATTGACTGGAGGTAAAATCTGAGAACAATACTCAGAAAGGCCTGTGAAAGAGCTATCGCATGCGCTTTCCGCGGGGCTGTAGCTCTATTGGTTCCCGAGTTATGCGTCGGGTGTTTCGAAAATTGTTGAAATAGACAAAATTTGACCTTTGATGACCTCTGGTAACCTGAGCTTTGACCTGACCTAAAAATGACCGAAGTATTCCCGTCATTACTTATGACGCTCTTTCGAATGCCGCTTACTGCGTGTCGCTATATGGCCCAGGAGCCGAATTAGAGGGGGGGGGGTCGTGAAAACGCCCCCGCCCAGCACGACACGGAAAAATTAGACCCCAGCACGGCGCGGGTTAACACTAACCTGAATCAAATGCATTTCAACATTTCAACGTAATTACCTCCTATGCTCTGTTGGCTTCACGGAGCTTCAAAGGTTTCAACGAGAAGTGAACGAACAAAATAACTAGCAGCAATACATTTATTGAGCTCTACATCGACATACGTGAGCCTTAACCCGACATATTCTAGTACCGTCTTGAAGGCTTAATACGTTCACTCATATACTTTTCCAACCCGTCCGCAATGAGGAAACGCCCTTATAGCGAAATAAAAAGGCAATAAACATGACAAAATCATTTTCAAGTAAAAAAAAGCTAAGCGAGTAGACCAGTTTCAAAGTTGACGCGGCACTACTGTAGGGGAAGGTGGGGTAAGACGGACCAGCTAAGGTTTGAGGCCGCATATCTTGCTACACTGCTCTCGTAATTCATATTATTTATAGTCTTCGGAATGCTCAATCCTTCCTCTGTTGATATGTGTAAAGACTAAATTTCAAATTAAAGACATCTAGGTGGTGGATGCTCTTAAAGAGGGACATGTCAAAAACTCAGACAAGAAAAAACGTGGGGTAAGAAGGACCACCCAGCAGTGCCTGCTATCCGTTCATGTGTGTTACACTTCTGCTCTGTACTCTTGTAAGAAAAAGTAACCAGAATGGTAAAATAACAAAATGAGCCTTTATTCTTTACTCATGTGTGATGGAAGTGCAGCTGAAAGCTGGGAACATGTGTGTTGATTGTCGTTTGGCATGAATGCATGCTAACTGAGCACTTTCATGCATGGCTCACATGCAACAAAGACTCCTTCCTGAAAAATTAGCTTACTTAAACTTGTGTCAATGTTTTGCAAAAAAAACTTTCCATATGCAGGGTACAATGGACCACCACAGGGTAAGATGGATCACAGTGGTCCGTCTTGCCCCAAATCTAAATTCTGTCATTATCATGACGTATATGTCAAATAGCCCAACATTGCAAAACCTTGCCTTTCCTAAAGTGTGATTATAACTATGTTTATAACTTTGTTCTTCACAGTAAAGTGCAAAATAGAAACTAATCATGCAAGAAAGGCGCCGTAATTGAATCACCCGTAGACCTCTTATATTAGATCGGTTTGACGAAAAACAACATTTTTCTCAATAACTCAAAAGCTATGCGTCCTAGCAGCATGAGCTCAAGGTGGCCATTGTTACGAAGGAAAACAAACATAGTGAGTGCATAAAGCAGTAGATACCAGCAGCGGTTTAGCCGGGAGGGCTGGTGGTCCGTCTTGCCCCGCTGGGCCGTCTTACCCCACCTTCCCCTATGTCCAGGACGGGACAGGATAGCAGTATCAAGAAACAATAGACACTGGCGGGTATACCTATGTACCTAAAATTTTGAGTTTATCCCATTATATAAGCGGTCCCCGGACCGCGCGATTACACTGGGCCCTGGGTAACAAACACAGCACGCGTTGGCCACGCTCGGTCAGCTGCGGCCCGCCCGGCGCTGCACCTGCCCTGCTGCGGGCCGCCCGGCCGTGACGGCGTGCCCTCCGACCCGCGCCGGGCCGCCGGCTGCAGGGACGCCGCGGCTCCGACCGCCGGGCCGCCGGCTGCAGGGACGCCGCGGCTCCTACCGGCCGGGCCGCCAGCTGCAGGGACGCCGCGGCTCCTACCGCCGGGCCGCCGGCTGCAGGGACGCCGCGGCTCCGACCGGCCGCCGGTGCCATCGTAGAACGGCTCACCACCGCCGGCAGCACTGCGCTCAGCAGCCATCGTTAGCCGGCACGGCGGTAGGGCGAGCTGCAGGCAGCGCCGGCCAGTGTTGGCGTCAGTCGGCGCCGGCCACCTCCGTCAGCGGCCCCGACAGGTAGCCGCCGAGCGCCTCGGCTTTGGCCCGCAGCATGCCCAGCGGCACGGTGCGCGCGCCGAACACGCACAGTAGCAGAGACGTCACCGGACAGACGCACATGCGGCCCTCCTGCCGGGACAGCGGACAGCGGGACATTGTCAGCGGTACAGCGGGACTGCGGAACAGCGGGACTGCAGAACAGCGACAGCGGGACAGTGACAGCGGTACAGCGGGACTGCGGGACAGTGACAGCGGGACTGTGTCAGCGGTACAGCGACAACGGGCCATTGCCAAAGACCGCGAAAGACCGAGACAGCGATTTTCTACCTGGATAAGTCGACCACAAATCCCATTAAGCACTCGTTATGTTACCTATATACAATCTCCGAAGCGACCTAGCACAAAATCTCACAATTTTCTCAGAGCGGCATGCGACATAAAAGCGAAAACAGCAACGGAAGGGTGAATATTAGAGACATGGACCTTTCCAATACAGTAGAATCCGCTTAATAAATCCGCCTTGGTGACACGACATTTTGGATTTATTGACCCGCGCCGGGCCGGTGCTTCGAGACTTCCGTGCCGGGCCGGGGGTCTGTATCTGAACCCCTCCCCCTTCTAACTCGGCTCCTGGGCCACATAGCGACACGCGGTAAGCGGTAATCGAAAGACCGTCCAAAATAAGACCAAAACACTCGGACATTTTTTGGGTCAGGTCAAATGTCAGGTCACCAGAGGTCACCAAAGGTAAAATGTTGGCTATTTCGACATTTTGGAAACTGGGGCATTCCACGATAGATCGTAAGTACCAGACCCGTCACCCTCATCTCTCAGATTTTAATGAAAATCGGTTCTAGGGGTAATCATAGGCCCCAAACACGCCTGGCAAAATATCAGACTTCTCAGATCAAAACTTTTTTAGTTATATTGCATTACATTTTGTTAACTTCGGTTTGTAACGGTGAGTTTGATGGCCTATAACTCAAGAACGGGTTAAGCAACCAACAAACGGTAAACAACACTTAGCTTGCGATGAATCAAAAATTAATATTACTTTTAAAAATTCCAAAGACAAATTTTCATTGTTGAACAAAAACCTTAATCTTTTTTCATTTGCCTCTAATGACTTTTGGTACCAAAATTTTCACATTTTTATTTATTCAATATAAACTTCATGCCATTACAAATCGACATGCAAAAAATTAGAAAGGTGTTCTTTTTATAAGTTCCACATTTTCCCCAAACAAAATGGGTTTCGGAGGGGTTGATACGACCCCAGCACGCCGTTTCGCTTCTAATAGAGCTAGAACCTCGCGGAAAAAACGAGCGTGTATGCCGTTACAAGTCGCAGCGATTGATACCCAATTTTAAGGTCTCAGGTTAACCGGTAGCGTCTGAGGTCAGGTCAAGTGACTGAAGTTAAGGGTTCGGTTTTTAGTAAATAACTTCGCAAGTAATGGCCGCAGAGCCGCGATTTTGGCATCATTGTGTTCGCCTAGCTCAGGTGCGTCGAATGGTATACTTTTTGTTAGGGTGAGATCAACCTAAGTAGTTGACCTCGGGTCAAGGTCAGGTCAGAGCCCCTCAGGTCACGAAGCTGGGCAAATGGTATCATATGGCATATCACATTCGATTCGGAAGGTCTTCCCGAGCCCATTGATGGCTTTCCCGACTCACTAGCTCATTTGATCGGGAGTTATTGACGAAAAACTCGTACGACCCTAATAACGTCATAATTGACGTCACGCGAGGTTAACAATGCGAAAGTAAAGCATTGGACTTCGCAAGGAGTGCTTGAAATCACGATAAGATGTACGTGAGATAATTTTAGATCATTCTCGGCGCCAAAATAACAATTTTTTATATTTCCCCATTGACTTATAACAGTGATGTCACGTCACCGACCTGACCTCATGTGACCTTAAAAAAATTCCAGATATGCAAGTTGTGAGACCTCTTGAGGACACCATGTATGCGTCCTGTAACTTTCATCTCAGACAGCTATGGTCATTGGCGTCCAAAACAATGTCAGAACCAAACAGCCTTTTTCACTCTCGCGCTTACGGGAAAGAGGGTTGGATGAGCCCTCTTTTCATTTTTTTTTTCAGATGACTCAGACTTCAATTGAAATTTCAGTAACCCGTGATGTCACTAGGCAGCTTTACCACGCCATTTGTAAGCTCCCCTCCCGAAATCACTATTCGAAACCGTTATCGTGACGTAAAATAAATGCATTTATAGAAAAAAACACATTCCTAATTTTTTGCATACTTCTTAACAATGACCCAAATATTTTTTTAAAAGAAATAATAATTCAAAAAAAATGGTCACAAAGTCCAAAAAATACAAATGAAAGAAAACTCGATATGTTATATGTCAGAAATAACGTATTTTTCGAAATTTCAGAAATACATATTAATCTCTGTTTCATTGCAAGTTCAATGTTATATAACATTTGGCATTTGAATAATCCGTCTCAGAGTTACAGGCCGCCAAACTTAGCGCTGCAAAGCAAGATCCAAAAAAGATGTTAGGGGAGAGTGGTGCAGGAGGCCCCCCCCTTAAGCTCAGTTGCTATTTTTAGACAACTGATAATATTTAAGAGCTAACGTGTGCATGCGCTGTGAGCATGCATCATTTTCCCATACATATTTGCATTCAAAATGAATCTAGGGGGTACACAAACCGTAAACTTTAACATTTTGGAAAAAGTTGCAAAAGGGCCTCTTACACTATGGGTATGGTAAGACGCCCCCCCCCCTCGGGCGTTTAACAAGGCAAGTCGACTTGTAAAAGACGTTTTGCGAACACAGCTGCAAGGCCTTTTATTTCGAAAAGCTAAGCAAATACGGTGTTATCGAAACCAATAACACTTCCAAAGCGCTCGAACAATGCGAAAACTAGCACAACCAAACGCTGATGACCAACGAAAATTGTACCTATTACCTCTAGAAAAAGAAACAGAAAAAAAGAAACAAGAACAAACTCCTTGAAAAAAGAATGCCACGCCTGCCGCAGGTGCAGGCGTTTTAGCATCGGGGGCGTTTTTTATCGGGGGGGCGTTTTATAATCCTCGAAGGGAGGGCCTCTTAAAAAAATGCAGTGTTTTAACGTCACAATATTTATGGTTTATGAGACATTTGCAGCGCACCAGAACATGGTCTATTCTGAAGCTAACATGTGACAATTTCGATGAGATAAGATTGCATTTGATAGTCATTGTTTTTTCAGATATATAAGGGTGATAAAGATGCATATATCTAGCAAGTAAAGGGGCAAAAACAGAAACAGGCTTACCGAAAGTCGCTGCGACGCACCTGATACCTCAGGTTTCGTGAGTTGTTGTTTCAAGAGGGCTTCTGCTTTACAAGAACATTAAAAAGTAAATAACATTATTGGTTTGGTAAAAAAAGCGATGGGGCCTCTTACCGACCCTGGGCGTCTTACACGGATCTCCCCTATACATCATAACTCAAAAAATACTTATCTGATAAGCGTGAAACTGTTAAAGAGGATGATTCAGAGCCCCTGATTACCCCTGAGACCAATTCTCGTCAAATTCCGAGAGATGAGGGTGTCAAATTGGAAAAAAGTGGTACGATCTATCGTGGAATGCCCCAACTGCCAACGGCTAACTCGGGAACCGATGGAGCTACAGCGCCGCGGAAAAGCGCATTCGATAGCTCTTTTAACGCTCTTTCGCCATCACGTCCTCAGATTTGACCTCAGGTCAACAGTTATGCCTCCAGAGGGCAAAAACTCTAAAAATAGCCGTTTTTACGAGAAGCGTTTTTTTCGGCAATAACTGTTGACTCAAAAGAGCCACGACATTACTTTTGCCAGCATCGCGTTCCTCTCGTCGAGACGCTTCGAATGAACTGGAATTTGACCTTGATAGGTCAACTTGAAAATTTAACCTCAGGTCAAGGTCATGACCATTGACCTGACCGTAAAAGGTCATGTTGCATATATGCAACATGCATATATGCAACATATATGTATGATATGAACATATATGCATGATATATCAGTGTGGATCGACTGATAGGGTAGTGAGCCTAAAATGAGTATAGTTTTACATTATCAGTTAAATATATTCAAAACTAGAAAGGGTGTGAATAATGGCTATATGGGACATTGACATTACGTGTTCTGACTACGACGTCCTATGTGGCACAACGGTGTCAGACGAGCGGTTGTTCTGTAATAATTGCATCTTCTGACCAATGTCGGCTATACTCATTTTTTGCTCCTTCGCAAAAAATGAGTACAGTTGTTTCAACGCTCTATTGTGCCTAATCTGCTGGATTTGCGAAGATGAAATTCGCCTGGAACGTGGATATGAAATCGGTGTTGCTAACAATATAAGCATTGAAATGTAAAAAAAAATCAAGAAATTGTATTACCGGTCGTTTCAATTTATTAAGACACATAGATGACTTGAGCAGACAACAACAAACACAACCGACAATGGCCACAACACCAACCACGGTCACAGTGGCGTGGCGAATGGGCACCGCCACATTTCCAAAAGCCTGCGTGAGCTTTACCCCCTCTACTTCGATCGAGTCGTCAGTTTGGTCACTTTTCGCTTCGCGGATGGCTTCTCGATCTTGTGCGACGAAGACCGCTTCTTTCCCTTCTCTTCGCGTTTCTTGGAGAGTTTCCTGTCCTGCTGTGACGACGGAGACTTCTTCCCTTTCTCTGCGCGCTGAAGCGAAGCGAATATCGCAGCTTGAGACAGAACAAGGGATAAAAAGAGATCAATTTGATATTTTGAGCGCTTTCCAAAAGCACTATCAAAGAAAATTTCGTGGTAACGATGGCCCGGCTACTGATGAAAACTTTGAAGGGTACCTATCTGGGCTCATGATTAAGCAAATTTCTAGCGAGGACAAATTGAATCTTGCGGAGCCAATAAGCATAGAGGAAATTGAGAAGACTTTAATTAACATGAAAAACGGTACATCACCTGGTAGTGACGGCTTCCCGGTAGAATTTTACAAATTCTTTTGGAAGGAGTTGAAGTGCTTTTTCAAAGCTATGTGCGATGATTGTTGGAAGAAAGGGACACTCCCGCACACTATGAAAGAGGGCATTATTGTACTTATCCCAAAGCCAAATAAACC